GCGGAGATATTGTTTTTTATTATTATAATGGGAGGCGATAGCAAGGCTTATTCTACCTTCACGAGAAGTCTGTATAGAGCGTTGTTGTCGCGGCATGGTGGTGGTGGTGTAGAGCGTCGCGTCAAGTTTGGTGGGGTGCGCAGCTTACTGGGGTGCGCAGCTCACTGGTGGAGCACGTTAATTGGTGTTGGAGGACGTAATCCGGCGTTGGCCCGTCCGCGGCGTTNGCCCGTCCGGCACCTCTATTGACCAATCGTGGAAGTTTACATCTGATTGGCACTGCAGGAGGGTCTCAGCCTTTCACAAAGAAGTCCCTCGTGCGATAAGTATATTCGTAACGATTTTGCTTCGCGTGTTGGGTAGCAATACACGACGCTAAACAGCTATCTGCGTGTAGACTGGGTTTGTTTGGGCCTTCTCGTCATCGTATCTGGTAAAGAATGTGCTTTTTTCAAGCACCATATGAACGCAGCATTGTGCGTGCAGGATGATGGGCTGTTACTGCGCCTACACCAGCGCCTCCACGTCATACATATATGCGTCAGGACTCTTGCGAAGGCTTCCCCCGCATGACAAGGCACATGTGATGCTCTTCAACCCAGCATACAAGAAACACTTCAACTCTGTTGCAGGTCAGTATTCACGGCGAGTTTCTCACGGTTCTACACGCCTGGTTACATAGCCAGACAGCCAATGAGTCTCGACCACTAGCGATGAAAACGGTCTATAACGACAACCCAACCCGCATTTCAATCCAGAGTACAGAAGCTCTGCTGTGCCCTATTCGGCAACGGTTCGCCACTTCCTTCATCCGGCCTTGCTGCGACTTAATTTCTATATCCTTGCCCTCCCGGCTCCCCTAGTTAAATGCAATCTTCACCGGTCAGACCACGGTCGAATCGATTTTATCTAGAGCTGCAGACCGCATCATTTAAACAAATCGTCAATCCAATCCTCAAGCATGTAGTAACTACATACCAAGAGCTGCTGCATAAAAAGAAAAGAAAAGAAAAGAAAGATAGTAAGCGTTTTAGCTTTCCCGCACAGATTTGGGCTCTAGCGCAAGTTACGGCCACTCACAGCCCGCATTTGCTGCTCTTTCGATATTTTCCATTATGCAGCTTGTTCCACCTCTCGCAAATTATCAAATAGAGTAATTAATTGGCTACTAACATAGTTACATAGACGGAAGGCTGATCTTGGTATCTGATAAGCGTCTTGGTAGCGCGATATCGAGATAAAAGATATACACTTTCAGTTTCCTGGCGCGCGAAACAATTAGTATCTCTTTCATCATTACATACTATGGAAGGCAGCTATGGAGTAAATGGAAGACGCCTGTGTGCATACACCTCGAGAGGATGACCTAATGAGGACCAGGCTCTCCACTACGTGAAAGGTAAGATTGCATGACTTTTGTAGACACATATCATCAATTAATTAGCAGTACCTATGCATCAACAGAGGTTGGGAAAGGATTGGCACAAACTCTAGAAGGTGGTGTCAAGTGTTTACGGTGCCAGTTGTATGGCTTCACCGGATAGCCGTCGGCAGATGCCGGAGTTAGCTTGCGATTCGTGGGAGAGCTAGTAAATGCCCAATCCCTAGAATGAATCGAAAGACCCACCGATGCTGGTGGCTCAGATGCATGTGCGAAATGCAGATAAGCTCATATTTGGTGTGTCACCAGCTGTCTCGATGGTTGAGCTGCCTAGCCTAGCACGGAAAAGATGTGTGTAAAGCAAATAGTAGCTTGCAGCTCCCTTACCAGTCTAATACACATCGACCAAACATGCAGAAAGTCGGCCATAGGCTGGAAGGCAGTATCTTCGCGTACCGTATGTGACGAGGTAGCAAACCTGACCATGGCGGTGAAGGCTAACCTATGCTTTTGTGGAGACACGAGAGGCGGGAGCCCTGCTCCAACTTTGTGCTAAGAAGGTGGATCTGATGGCTGTCAGCTTCCTATCATTTCGACCTTCGAGGTTCAATAGTTTCTTATGTTGGGCTGAGCCCTAAGACTAAATCTTCTAGTTATCATTTCCTCAATTCACCCAGCATACGCATAAAGTGCGTATCGAACGAGATCTTCATCCACATCCACAATGGTTACCAAATCATTCGACACCCGTATAGTCCATGAACTTTGCTCAAAAGATCAACTAGATCTGCTCGACTCTGTAGATCGTCTACGCTCTCAGGGAATCGACCATTATGTCTCTCTACCACAGATCATCGTTTGCGGCGATCAGTCTTCCGGCAAAAGCTCTGTCCTTGAAGCTATCTCTGGTGTCTCTTTTCCGGTCAAGAGCAATTTATGCACACGTTTTCCAACCGAGTTAGTCTTACGAAAGACATTAAAAATAGGTGTCAGCGTCTCCATCGTTCCAGATCGCTCGCGTAGCAGAGTAGAGCGTGAATCTCTTAGCAGTTTCCATGAGACGCTCGACAGCTTCACTGCGCTCCCAACATTGATCGAGAATGCTAAAACAGCCATGGCCATTGGTAGTCTGGGTCGAGCTTTTTCGAAGGATTTCTTACGGGTTGAAGTGTCGGGCTCTGATCGACCGCATCTTACGATCGTAGACTTGCCTGGCCTTATCGATTCAGAGACGAAGCAGCAATCTGCAGCTGATATCGAACTTGTACAAGATGTCGTCAAGTCGTACATGAAAGAGCCCAGGAGCATTATCCTCGCGGTTGTATCAGCAAAGAACGATTACGCCAACCAGGTTGTGCTGAAGCTCGCCCGAGCTGCCGACAGAACCGGAACTCGCACGCTTGGTGTGATCACCAAGCCTGACACTCTGAGTCCAGGATCTGACAGCGAAGCCATGTACATCTCGCTCGCTAAGAACTTTGATGTGGAGTTTCGTCTTGGATGGCACGTTCTCAAGAATATGGATTCGGAATCTGGATCCGGGGCACGTTCAAATCGTGATGAGGAGGAAAGTCATTTCTTTTCCAAAGGTATATGGCCCACGCTGCCCGAGTCCATCCTCGGTATCGTACCGTTGAGAGAGCGACTGAGCAAAGTACTTCTTGTCCAGATCGCAGCGGAACTCCCGGGTCTTGTGGATGAGATCGAACTCAAGTCTGCTACTTGTCGCACTGAACTCCAAAAACTGGGCCAGCGCCGGGCTAGTATCGAAGAACAACGTCGATTTCTTGTCACTCTCAGCCAATCATGCCAGGCCCTTACCAAAGCCGCTGTTGACGGGACCTACAACGACGACTTCTTCGGTAACGCGAAAACTGACGCTGGCTACCAGAAACGCATTCGTGCTGTGGTACAGAACCTCAATCAGGCCTTTTCAGAGACAATGGCACGCGAGGGACACCGCTTTGTCATCACCGACTCTTCGGATGCAAGTCTTCTACAAGCTAGTAGACCGAAGGAAAATATCCTTAGCCGGTCAGAGTTCCTCGAGCGTATCGAGTCCCTCATGAACCGTACCCGTGGCCGCGAACTCCCTGGCACCTTCAACCCCATGATGGTATCAGACCTCTTCTTCGATCAGTCATCGCCCGGGGAAGAGTTTGCGAGAGCTCACATTGTACAAGTCGTAAGTGCGGTGAGGGCTTTTCTCAGACACCTCACCTCCCATGTTTCAGATGTTTCTACATGCAACGCGTTATTTCAAACCCTAGTCGAACCTGCACTCGAGAGGATTTTGAAAGATGTGAAAACCAAGACGGCAGAACTGCTTGCTTCACATCAGCGCGGGCACCCCATNACCTACAACCACTACTTCACAGAGATGGTGCAGCAAGTCAGAGAGAAAAGAATCACAGCAGAACTCAGGCGCATCATCCAAGACATCTTCGGCGTTAGCTCACTTCACCCGTCTGGAAAATCTCGATGTGTAGAGATGGACTATCGGCCGTTGCTGGACGCACTCGTAGCGCATAGAAACCCTGATTTGAATCAGTATGCGTGCTCCGAGGCGCTGGACTGCATGCAAGCCTACTACAAAGTATGTCGTTAACCATAGAATTTCTGTGAATTCCCTTCTGAAAACCGTATGTTGACATATATGTTGTTCCATTAGGTCTCCCTTAAACGCTTCGTGGACGACATTGCTGTTGAAGCTGTAGAAAAAGATATCATCGCTAAACTCAGCGATATCGTTTCGCCGATCAGGATCACCTCTCTTGCCTCTGATGTGGTGACAGATATCGCAGGCGAGTCCAAGGAGAGCCGAGCAAAGCGTAGCCAGTTGGAAATACAGCTGGTCGTGCTAGTTCAGGGATTAGATACGTGTAAAAGATTCATGGTGAAAACGCTACAAGGTAAGCGTCAAACCATGTTGTCAGCAGATTTTATATGTAGAGCAAGTATAAACTAAAGTGTGGCCTTGTGCAGATACACCAGATACACCGACCCTCCGACATAGCGTTAGAGATTCTTTGTCGAACATGTCTTTAAACCTTCTTTCCACTGAACCTCACGGACATGTCACCAACGATGGATTAGAAGAAGTTGGCATATCTCATCACGAAGCCCATGATGAGTGGACCTTGCCAACAGAACACGAAGCAGTATCAAAACGAGAATCTGAGTCTCTTGAGGATGAGGATTTCGCTGGGCCTATGGATGAGTCGACGACTGACTCATGGGCTTCTTCGTCAGCGAAAGTTTCATGTGACAAGAAGAAGACGAAGAAGAAGAAAGGAAAGAAACAGGCATATGAATCTGAATAATCTTTTCCTTACACAGAAGATGAGCCTGAGAATGGGTATTGGTTATGCAGCTGCTGTTCCGAGACCGTAACCGATTCAATCTGCCAAGGCGTCTGCTCATGGTAACGTTGTCATTTGGGATCTCATATGTGGCTAGCATACTTGGGAGTAAGCAAGCGTGCTTGCTTGCTTGCTTGTTACGCTTGATTGCTTGGTTATCCAAGCAAGCCAAGCGCCTCTCTTTAAGTTTGCAAGCAAGCAAGCAGCCTTCTCTATGCTTGCTTGGTTGCTTGAATCGCGCTTG